CTTTATTTCAGTAATCTAATTATATAATTTAGTAAAGACAATATATATATATTGAAATGAATTTATATTTATATATCAGATTAACAAATAAAAAGATATATTGATTATTTACCTCAATGTTTGTTGAAATTGCTCCTAAACAGTTGAAAAATGTTTTTCTAGAGCATTGCCAACGAATCGTTGCTCCTCTACTCAATTTTTTTGTATACATATACCCTTCCAAACACAACTTCTGACCTCCTTTATTATTTTCAATAATTTCCATAGTAACAGAATAAAATAACGATTAAAATTTTTACAACTTTAAAGTCCATGCCAATAAACTTTTTATATGATATTACCACACAAAGAAACCTTGAAATAAAATCCTATTTTTTTTTTAAATTTAAATTACACTATTGATTAAATGCATGCGAATTGCTTTCTCATCATCAATCATCATTGATTGTTCTAAATTTACATGCCAATTTGCGCTAGAAAGCTTGAGAACCAATTTACTTAATTATATGTTTATGGTCTTTTGCATAATGTTTAATTCTTTATCATCAACGATTTGTGTTTTTTGGCTGTCTGTATTTAAAAGTGTATCTGATGATCATTACAATAATTATAAATTAATAAGTAATTGCATTCTATCTCGTATCGTATTGTCTGTTAATATTAATAATAATAATATAAATCATAATTTTAAAACAAAAATTGTCCGGGGAGTAATTGTCCTGGGGGTATTTTGTTTTGGGGGTATTTGTCCGGGCGGTTATATGCGTGCGGGGGGTATTTGTCCGGGGGTATATTGTTTGGGGGGTTTTTTGTTCGGAGGGTAATTGTCCGGTAGATAATTGTCCGGGGAGTTATTTGCGTGGGGGGTATTTGTCCGGGGGGTAATTGTCCTAGAACCGTTTTTGGCACATGCTGTAACACTTTAACAACCCTATAATCCATTCCAATAAACCTCTCAGATAATATTAATACACAAAGAACATAATAAAGTTATTATGATTTTTATTAATTTATTAATTTTTATTGTAACAAATTTTTTATGTAAAAATGTAATTTCATTTTTGTATGTATGAATATTTTAAAAATAAAATAGTATCGTTGGATTTTTTTCAGGAAGACTTTTTTTCCTGAAGACGTTTTTTCTGGAAGACATTTTTCTTGAAGACTTTTTTTCTTGAAGGCATTTTTTCTGGAAGACCTTTTTGAATGAAGATATTTTTACTGAAAGATAATATATATACAACAAAAGAATAAACATCAATTAGAAAAGGAAAAGTAAAAACGGAAATAGGAAAAAAACGTTTTTAATTTATGTTATTTAATATCAAAAAAATTAATATCTAAAGACACAATTATTAAAACCATGTAATATAAAAAAAAACATTAAAAAATAATAAAAAAGACAAAAAAACCTTATTTTACAGTAAATAGTAAACCTACTTTATGTTTAACGTTAGAGAAATTTTTTTAATTTGTATTTAAACGGCATACTTGTGAGGTATTGTCGAATATAAAACCGCAGTCTGTTTGAGATTCCATAATAACAAAGGCAATTTGAGATTCCATAAAAACAAATATTCTTATCTGAGATTGTATTTTTAAATTAATTTATCCTTTAGCAGAATACCGTATATACCAACTTATCATCCTGAGATTGTTTAACAAAAGATTCTAGCAATTATTTGTCTTGAATTTTGTCTATTTTTTGTCTATGTTTGATTTTATGTCTATGAATTGTATATTACTGTACAAAATTTTATGGACGAAGCAACATAATTCAAAATAATTTAATTCGTTTATATGTAAAATTTTTAATTTATTAATTTATTATTTATATTTTTCTATAAGAAATAATTTTAATCATTCTTTTTTGCAATACATATATTTTTTGCAAGTAACTTTTATATTATTTTCCCAAACAAGATTTTCATAGAATAAATGCGAATAGATAAAAGCATAAAAAAACAAAATTAAAAGTTATCTGTTAATTGATTTTTAATTCTGTTAATTATACTTGTGTTTCTATTTATTTTTATTAAAATTAAATCAACATGTTTTTTAAAAATCATTTCAGAGCCAATTACAATTTCAAGCGGTTTAAATTCATCTACTTTTTCAATTAATTAAACACTAATTTTTATAGTAACTCTATTTAAAATATCTTTTTTCTTAGTAAAGAAAATATATTTTGTTTTTTTGATATTTATTTTTAAAACAGCCCAGTTATTGATATTATGCAGGCCAATATTAGTATTTACCTCTAGATCGGATATCTTATGAAGCGTTGTTATTATAGTCGAATCATCTGCATATATATGGTGGGAGTAGATTGTTGAACGACATTGACAATATCATTAATAAAAAAATTAAACAACTTAAGGCCTAAAATGCTGCCCAGCGGTACACCACAGCCCACTTGTCTCAGTTTGGAGTTAAAACCTTTGATACATTGAAAGTCTTGCCGACAAGTAGTTCGCAAACCATTTTAGAGAAATGCCTCTTATCCCATAACTCTCCAACTTCATTTATAAAATATCATGTGGGATCGAGTCGAAAGCTTTCGCAAAATCCAGGAAAACTAATGAGACCGACATTTCTATGCTCAAACCGAAGACATTCTCGTTCATCGCACCTATAACTGCTTCCGACCTTTTACAAAATCCAAACTGATTTTTGTGATCAGTAATCGGCACTGTTTTCGAGAATTTCTGAAACTGAACTTAGAATGCTAATCGGTCTGTAATTTTCAACATTATATACTGAGTTAGACTTATGAATTGGAACAACTCTAGCAATTTGGGAAAACACCACTTGACAATGAAAGTTTAAACAAATGGAAAAATATAACACTTTTTGAGTTAATGACATGTTTTAAAATTTTGTTAGATATTTTATATTGATCCAGACTGGATGAATTGGAAAAGGAATTGACAATTTTAATAACTTCACATGGATTGGTCGGTGATAAATAGAACGAATAAGATGGACTTTTGAAAAAACTTAAAAACTTTTAGAATTTTTGTTAGTGGCAGACTTAGATGTGAAGAGATTTATAAAATAATTGTTAAAAATATTAGCCATTTTTTTATTGTCTTTTATGGTTGTACCGTTGTTGACTAGCGTTATATTATTTTGCTTTTTATTGTTTTGTCAAGATTGTTAAGTATTTTCTATTTTTTCTTCATATTTAAATTTGAATTATTAAAAATATTATTATAGTTATTTATTTTTGCTATTTTAATTAGATTATTTAATTTATTTCTAAATTTCTAATATCTTATTTCCGGGTCATTAGAGAAGGTTTTCTTATATTTTCTAAATGAACAATTTTTTTACATTTCAGTTTCTTAATTTGTTAATTTTCCGAGAGGTATATGGGCAAAACTTTGTAAATAAATTTTCAATGGTTGCCCAAAAATTACTAAAATCCGAATAGCAATCTTTCTCATCCAAAGTATCGGATCAATGGTGATTAGATAAAGCAACATTGAGTTTGTTCAAATTCTTTAAAATAGTGTTATGATATGAAATATGGTCTTTACAATTCAAGAAAAGAAATGCTACAAATATAAGAAAGTGATCAGATAAATCTGACAAAAAAGTACCGCTAAAAAAGACCCCAGACCAGACTATTTGTAAAAAAAATATTTGTGATGGTGCTAGATGTTGCAGATGTTCTAGTTGGCACGTTAATATTGAAATACATTGGAGAAGGAAGACATTAAATTTAAAAAACGATGACTTGCAGTCGTTTCAATTGATGAATCAATATTTAAATCCCCTTTTATACATACCAATTTTAGTTCTTTTATAACATCATGCATTAAATCTCCAAATGATTCAAAAATAAATTTATATTTGTCGATGGGGGTCTATAGACATTTATTATAATAGGGTTTTACTTGCCTTGGTTATTAATCTCAATGGCAATTGATTCAAAAGTATCGTCATCACTAACATTTCTAATCCAACAATCAATTGATTTGTTAATAAAAATTGCCGTTTCGCCGCCTGGACCTACCTTTCATTCCATTTTTGATTAAAAACTGACAGTTATCTGAAGAAATTAACGAATTGTTGCTACCGTTCAACCAGGCAAATGATAAACAGATGACATCAAAAAATATCAGTCTCTTGGATTAATATTTTGAGTCTATCCAATTTATTGATAATACTATGACAATTCAACTTTACTATTTTAAAGCAAGATTTCAGTTTTATTGATGGAGTAATACATTTTAGCATACTTGGATTATGTTGCTGACAGTTATAAAAGGAAGTTTTATATTTATTAAAGAAACAATTATTTCCTGACGAATGGTCATTAAAAATGTTAAACATGTAATGATCTATAAAAAAATTAATTAAATGTTGATTTGTTGTAGCCAATTCAATTATCAACGATTGCTATTTTTTTTGAATTGCTCATTTCTCACCCATCATATATATCTGTCGACTGTCAGATCATTTAATTGGTCATTGTTAGAAATTTTTATAGATGATGGTGTTTTGTTCGTTAGTTGGACTTCAATATATCATATGATGGTGTTTTGTTAGTTAGTTGGACAATTTGATTTGTATTTGGCGTCTTAAAAACGTTATTTGTGTGTGATTTATTAATTTGTGAATCTGACGGACGCGATAATCCAGTCTCTGATGACACTACCATCCGGCCGAAACATGGGGTCAACAGTTAGTTTTGCATATTCAACATTTTTTAGAATTATTTTAAATGCTTTTGCTGGTATTTTTAACGTTTTTAATAATAATGGGACATATTTTAATTACGGACATGCCATTTTTCTTGAGGTAATTTGATATCTGAGCATCATCTACTTCTGAGCTCATTTTTTCCAGATAAATAACCGATTTTTCAACAGGTTGAGGCACTGCCCTCAATTCGCAAATTTTTTTCGTTCCATAAACGACCTTAACATTCTTTTGAAGGATGCCGAAGCACAATAGACGGTTTAATGCGGTATTTTCAGGATTTAATTGTTTGCGTTCTTGATAAATTTTCTATTGTGGTGCAACGTAATCTCTGTTGAGCTATGATTTTTTTGTGTCTAAGTTAATATTTTGTACGGTTTTAGCATTTTTAGCTTTAATGACCGTATCTGAGTTTGTCATGTTTTCAATTTGCTTCAGTCGGTTTGTTTGCTTAATGCTTTCTACTATGGAGTTAAGGCTGTTGACTACGTTATTTGCCAACGAGTCTATTATATCATTATTCTTATTCATAAAATGGTTAATAAACAAACAACTCAACATGAATTGTACTGTACACGTACAGACAGTAAGGAGATCTGTACAATATATCGATACGTCTCAAAAACAGTAGTATACTTCTTGTGTTGACTGGCAACAGATATATAACGCACCTCAGTGAGACAATTTTAAACTATCCTTTATAGTTTATTTCAATTTGACAACTAATTAAGAATATATGGATAAATTCGAAATAAATTCAAAAATTCCACTCCAGAAGAAAATGAAATAACCTTTGAGAATCTCTCAATACTTGCAGCCAAATTATCCAAAAATTTAAGGAAACAACCAATTTTTTAAGAATTATTTAGTAAAACACGAGCAAATGAAAAAACGTCCGAGAGCTGTCGTGCTTTGAAACTTATTCCAAAAATTGACTTATTGATGCTAAAAATTCATGGAGTTATATTTCTGTTGAATGCAAAACGTTGCCATAAATGTTTCCCGGTTTAAAATCGCCGACTATTGGAGTGGGCTTAACAAAAGTGGGGGTTAAGTTGACTTGTGCGATAAGTTTATTAGTAGATGTTTTGATAACTGTTGTTGGATCTTTGGTATCTGACAAAATATTAGAGGTTTGGTTGTTGTAGTCGGTTCTGTTCATCACTACGTACATATTCAATTTGTCGGATTTGCGTATGCTAAAAATTCAATGATTTTACTGTTGTTGATTCTTGGGAAGAGGTCCTTTTTGTAAGACATCATCATAAATCATTGTAAAGTTGACTGGCTCGGCAAAATCCAAAATTAGTTCAAAATGTATTTCAATTTCGACAACGACTATAGTGAGGATAATGTCAAAACAAATTTAAAAGCCAAATACAAATTTGAATAAGCAAACACTTCAAATAAGACGTTTGAAGAACAAAATAACAGCAATGATAAACTTAAATAAAATAAATTATTGTCTAAAAAATTTGCATTTATATTAGTGATTGTTGCTGTTTTCAACTGATGAGATGGTCTACATACTTTCTAGTAATTCTACTGATTCTGATGTTAACCGTCATCCACTTCCATTTCAAAGATCAAATTATACCCATCTTCGAGAGTTGTTGGAGTACTTCTCCGTTTCCTTACAAAATCCAACAAAGTAATTTTTTGTTAAAATGTCATCAAATTTTTGAGCAGCTCATTCAAGTGTTGCAGTGCGTCACTAAACTTTCTTTTCAAAATTTCTAAAAAAATTTTTGAATATAAACTAATCTAAAATAAAAAAAAACAGCGTAAAAACCACTATGCCCAGGGAACCTGTTTTAAACTATTAATTACTTGATCCATAACCAAGTTGTGAAAAGTGACACATAATTTATCTTCCACACTTTTAGCGGTTGGATGGTTATAATTCTTTTTTTTCCTTCAAAACACTTTGCACCTCAGTGTCGACATTTGTTTTTGTCTAGTTTATTATCTGTCAATTTAGAAAAATTTGTAGCTTCTTGAAAAATTGAATTAAATTTTCTGCTAAAACTGAAAATTTAATAACTTCTTTGGCAGCTGGCAGCCACCGGCCCACCTGGAATTTTCCGGTGTCCCGGCGGTCCAGTCCAAGCCTGTATACAAGATGTGGGTTCCATATTTCAGCCATCACAGCAAATTTTCTTTTTGTAAATTTAGAAGATCGGAAAAGCAGAATAACCAAATCATCGAAGTCCGATGACACCAGATGATTGCGTTCACTTAATCTTGATATCAATGTAGTTTTTCTTTTCACTAAGATTGTGCCCCGCTAACCAAACGTTTTCTAACTAGCAAAACATTTTTGAATTTCATTCTTACAGAAAATTGCGGCCATTAAGAAATATACAGCGAGTGTTAAGTTGTGCAAATCTCAACAAAAGTTCTAGAAGTCATTCAGGACATATTCAAGTGCTCATTTGTTTAGTCTAGACAGAAGTTGAAGAGGTTGTTTTGAATAGGCTTGTACCGGATTTTCCTTTTTCCAAAACAGATGGAGACAAATTTAACCTAATTTAATCGGGATCCAGCACTCCGGATTTGTGTATCAATCGCAATTTATGGTTTTTTGCTTGCCGACTGGTTCCAAACCTTGAAAAAATATTGTCTGATTACAATAACCTAATAAATTAACTTAATTGTAATACAATATGTTTGAACACCTCTTTTTATTTTTATAATCAAAATGATAAAATATAAAAACTGTACATAGTCTAATCGATAATCAATGAAATGTAAGCTTGTATGTACACTGTACTCTAATCAGCATTAAATTCATCGTATTAATGTTTCTTTTGTAAAAGCCTGCCGATACCGTGTTGCAATATGCGATGTGCCGAGAACATAATCATTTGTACAAAAGATTCAGTACATTTTTTGAAAGATGAACTTGATTCTGTTAAGCATGCCAAATGTTTCTGCCAGTTTAATACAAACATTTTGGACTTTTGAGTTAAAAGTAAATTTGGAATCTAGGTTAATTCCTACAAATTTAATTGTTTAATTTTCATAAATTTTATTTTAACAATCAAATATCGGTCTATTTTTTTAAATAAAAAAAGAGACTTTTTATTTGAACCAAAATTGTTTTTAAATATTCTTAGGAGGCTTGAACATAATTTTTAGAAAAATATTTTTTCAACTTTTGTTAACAACTGTCGTTTTTTAAACCAAATATAATTTTAAAAATTCGTACGACTCAACAACAAACATTCATGACATCGTGTTTGCGTATCAAATCAAAATATTAAACATTTGTTACATATTGTTACATTTGTTATTATTGTCATTTAAAATTTAAAAGATGATATCAAAAATGAACAATATAAAAGAAGCAATGCTAAAACGAAGTCCATGAAATATTTATAAAACACATTGCATCTGTGGAGCCTCAACGTTTGAATTTTTTCGTTTCTTCAAACGTCTCAATCGACCAACAAGAGACTTTGCCACTCTTCTAGGCAGTGAATTTTTTCTTTTCGTTATTTTGAGGTTTTCCTGTTTGTCAAACTTATCTGATGAGCAAACGCAGTTTTTGAGTTGCTGCATTAACTTATGAAGATGATCTTCGTTAAAGATGTGTTTCAACAAGTAGTAATAATTGAGTCCAGGTTGCATTTTTTAACGGCTGAACAGCATGGACATTTCAAATGCAACTCATGAGATGTGCAGATGACCTTAATTGAACAAGCAGACGGATAGCGATTAACTTTGCAAGGATCTTTTTTAAAGCTCATGCAGTTGATATATGGAGATGTTTTCGAGGTGTTGCTTCTAGAAAATGTCGCTGAACAAAGTGTTGATACATTGGAAGCACTGCGGAAATGGTTGCTCAAATCAGTTGCAGGTTCCTCGATAGATATTGAAGTCGGCTGTTGTGGTGTGGTGTCGCAGGTTTTGCTGTCGAATTCTGGTATATTACTTTGGTGTTGCTGTCGACAGCAACACCAAAGTAATATACCAGAACAGCAACTACACGCATCTTAAAATTGCAGAAGCAGTCCTAATCGACATCAATAAACCAAAAATAAATATACAACAAAAAATGACAACCTCACTTCCAACCCGGTGCTTAACCAACAACGAAAACAAAGAAGTAATAAAAACTAGCATCGTAAATAGTGACAAAGAAGAATATGATGCTATCGATGAAGAAAAGGAGACCAAAGAAGATGACCAGCCAATTAAGAAACCTGACACCTAATTCGCATCAAAGTTCAATTTTACAACACCAAAGTTAATTTTTACAACGTCAAAGTTAATCTTGACAGTCAATATTTCCCTATATATACAACAAGGAGCACTGACGATGATTCATTCGGAATCGAAATATGGCCTTATTTGCAGCATAAATTCGAAAAATAAGTTTATTTTGAATTTTAATAAACTAAACGTTCACCAAAAAACTTTAGTGAGAAAAATCGAAAAAACGAACGACAAACATATTAACGCCAAACATTCGGTAGAATTTATAGAATATTGTAAATATATATATATATATATATATATATATATATATAAGAATCGTCTGGATAAAGTTGATTATAAAAAAAAGCCTGTGGTAGACAGAGAATCCCTTTTGTCGTATATCTAACTCTGTCACTGCACGAAATGCAAAACAGCACCAAACGACCTTAATCGTTAGGCCACCACGAGCCCATAATTAAAATAATATATATATATATTATATATAGAATATATACATGTATATTCTATGTATACAAACCACATATATGATTGTTTCCTTCAATCAATAACTCAATTAGCTTGTAAAACGCTATTTCCGCAATGTTCAACAGCACTCCTCAATGAATTTTGCAAACAGATGGGTCTTGAGATCCGCTCTGAACTTTGTCAGTAATGGAGAAATAGTCAGAGAAGTAAATAGAGAATTCCAGAGAAAAAGACCAGAAAAAGCAAAAGCAAATTTAGCAAAAGATTGTTTAACACGAGTTAAGAAGAAGCGAGAACAATTTCCACTAATCACTAATCAGTGATTAGTTGAGACATCAGCGTACTTTCATGTTTTTTTCTTAACTGCCTTTAAAAAAATGTTTGTTTAAAAAGTGTTCAATATTGATTTTAAAAAAATGAAAGTATCTCAATTATCAACATATATTAACGATTTTATGTAATATATTCTGTACTCCAATCAGGCAGCAACTATCAGAACAACGTATGGTAACACCGATTGGTTCAAAATCGGTAAAGGCGTCAGGCAGGGATGCATTTTATCCCCAGCTCTGTTTAACCTGTATGCCGAAACCATCATGCGACGATGCAATCTGGACGAGACCACAATCGGAGTCCGACTTGGAGGTAGGACTATTAACAACCTGCGATATGCGGATGACACAACTATACTCGCAGAAAGTGAGAAAGACCTGAAATACTTGATCCAACGAGTTCAAGAGGAAAGTGAACGCATGGGACTGTACCTCAACGTCAATATGTACCTCAACGTCAATAAAACGAAAGTAATGACAACGGCATGCAATGATGCAGTAAACATCAAGATCAACAATGAACAGATCGAGACAGTGCAAGATTTCATTTTCCAGGGAGCCAAAGTTGACCGAAACGGCGAATCTGGACCAGAGATCAAAAGGCGGATTGCACTCGGCCGGGCTGCAATGCAAGGAATAGATAAAATCTGGAGGAGCAAGGATGTGAGCATTGCAACCAAAACGAGACTCGTCAACGCCATTGTCTTGCCCATAACAATTTATGGATGTGAAAGTTGGACAATCAAGAAAGCAGAAAGAAGAATCAACGCTTTTGAACTTTGGTGTTGGAGAAGACTACTGCGTATCCCCTGGACATCGCGAACAACAAATAAGACGGTCTTGGACAGTATCAAGCCAAAAATGTCGCTTGAGGGCAAAATCGTCAAACAACAACTCTCCTTTTTCGGCCATGTTATGCACCCAAATTCGGCGCTGGAAACTTCAATGATGCTAGGTAAAGTAAGTGGGACGAGAAGAAAAGAACGGCAAAGAATACGTTGGCTTGATACAATCACATCGGCCAGCAAAATGACGATCTCAGAACTTAAAATAATCGTCGAGGACAGGAACGCATGGAAAAGACAGATCCATAAAGTGGCCGAAAGTCGACTTCGACTAAATGGCTAATCATCATCATGTAATATATATATCATCATCATGTAATATATATATATATATATATGGACATTTTATTCTATACATATAGACACGGCTCACTTATATCATCAAACTGACATGTTTTTCTATAATGTTTGGATCTTTGTCTTTTTTTTCAATCAATTTATTTAGTAAACTTCGTTGTGATAATCGTCAACACAACTCGTCCAATAACGCTGGGCGTCGCCTGAATTTTTTTGATCTGGGTTAATCGTTAATTTTTACTTATTTTTTCACTTAGGGAATTAGTGATATTTATTCTTAAATTTATTTTATCGAAATTATTCTAAAAAGTTTTTCTATAGAAAAACATTCCGGAGCATCATCTGGACCTTCGTACAACGTGTGCTATATTTTCCTGATTTTCTAAGTGCTCCCGGAAAATTTTATATAACGGTAGGAGTAAGTTAATGCAATTGAGAGATATCTTTGATTGACATTTTGGATCATTGAACAATTTTATTTCATCTTAAGTTAGTAGAAATACAAAGCTATTTAATTTTAAATACTTTCTCTTTTTTATCTAAGATAAGTTATCTTATCTATCTTACTTATATTTATATTAAATATAAGATAAAAATATCGTTAGTACAGTATAGAATAGACTTTGCTGGCTCTTTACATTGTTTTGATTAGTTGATTAGAATGGTTATAGACTGCAACCATGATATGGATTTTCAACACTGAATCTAAGCTTAGATACTATGTATGACATGTATATATCTTCAAATGCAATGTGTGCAAGTATATGTGTACATATTTAATTTATGGGACCATTATCAGATTAGAATATTAGATCAAATTAAAGTATACCCAGCAGCCATGCATGTTGATGATAAATCCAGCTGTAAAAATATAATTTGTTAAAAGTTTGACCTAACAAAAATATTATTTTTTTCCTTAAAAATAGGTAAACCAACATGAGTGAAGGACACAAAACATCTCCCAGAAAAAGTGAAAATGCTCATAACTCCTTCCATCTGCCCAGTCCCTTGCCAACCAAACGCAATCGCACTTATTCTCAGTAAAAAATTTATCTTATCACTATCTTTTTTGTCTGAATATATGAAGTCAATAAAATGAAATTGAAAGAAATTTTTAAAAGTTGGCAACATACACAGGTCACAAAAAGCATCAGCAGGGCCGATCCTCAATGGTGTAGTAAAAAGTTTTTGTAGACAAAAAGGTCATGGATTCATCCAACCGAATTCTGGTGGAGAACCTTTATTTGTCCATATTTCAGAGTGGGTCTTATTATCCATTAATTAAAATATCTCATTAAGCAAGAATTTTATTGACAAAATATTAAATGAAAAACATTTTGGGAAGTGTTGTATTAATTCATACTTAATCATTTTAAGCATTGAAACTGATTGTGCTCTAAAAGATGGTGATGAAGTTACATATAAACTCTGTCCCATCCCACCTAAAATGGAAAAGTTTAGCGCTGTACACGTGAAGATGCTACGACCCAAGGAAGGAGTTGAACATGAAAAGTGGGATAATAGCCATACCCATCCTGAAGGAAATTAACAGCCCCAGTCAATTTGTTCCATTCAATTTCCTCGTTTTTGATGTCGAATGTTCGTTATGACATTGTGACGGATTGCTGTGTTTGATATATTTTCCATTATGCTATTTTATTTTAGTGTTAATTTTTAAGATATCCTATTTTGGAGTGGACATTCACCATAACTTTTTCTCATCTTTATTAAGCTTTTTTTTAAACCAAAAAACGTACACTGTGGCAATATATTTTTTCTTTGAATTGATGTCTGTCACTATTTGTCAGAAATGTTCAAGTTACACTGCAAAATCACAATCTTTGATTGGTTCCAGGATTTAAAGAAATCAAATTGCAAGTAGGTTTTAGTTGTGGATAGCCCTACCTACATGGATGAACATTACGTGCGGACATTACATGTTATACCTATTAACAAAATGTAAAACTGCTCAATCTTCTGCTTTTTATATGTTAGCATGACTTGGGGAGTTGTTCTATTATTTTTAATTGGCCCTTTTGTTTTATTTATTTTTGTATACCGTTGACAACCATAGACTTCTACTGACACTAACAATAAGCAAGAAAGACAATTATTTCTATATAATTTCTTAATACTGTTTCGTATTTGGAATGTTTGCATGTTCTTCCATGAATGAAGGTTGAGTCTTATTTGTGGTGAAATTGCAGACATTCTTATTTTTCACGTCTTATAATAAATAATTAAACTGATTTATTCACTTCTGTAAATAGTTTACTTTTTTGCATTCGGAGATGTTGTGCGCCATGTCGCATTTCCGCCAAAAACTTGGTGCCTCCGAACAAGTGATACAATAAAAATGACCCAAAATCATTTCTTGGTAATCTAATTTGACAAATAATTTCAATTAAGAACGATAAAAATATTTTTTGAAAACTATAACATAAAAAATTTATACAAAAATGGGAAGGAACTGTCTCAAAAAACTGTACCACGTTGAAGGTTTTGCGGTTGTAAAATTCAGCTTCAAAGCGAAAACTTTTGCAAACTGAAAGTTTGGTTATAAATGCACACAAAATATCTAATTTTTTTATATCATAATTAATCAAATAATTTAATTATTTTGACTGTTTAAAATTAAAGAAAGATTGAATTGCAATACATAACATTTTTTCAGCTCATCACTACACAAACCAAAAAAATGCGTAGATATTATATTAACAAAGGTGTATGAAAAACGAAACCGCTACTCACTTTTTATTCAAACTAAACTTGGTGTGGAAAAAATTGGATAACGTTTGCTGCTTGTCATCCTTGACAATAGCGTTGCTTAACTTGGATTTGGAATTTTTCCTGGATAATCCTGATGGCCTAGAGACTTTACGACTATTATGTAGTGCAACGTTGATTTTATCACATTTAATAATATTAGTTTGCTTGTTATTGATAAGTCTATCATCAGTTGCATTATCTTCGAGACTAGATCCTGAAATGAATAATAGTAAAAAATATGACAGCAGTGAAGCCACGTGAATGCAAAAAATATGCACCTTTCAGTCCGCGGATGGATGCCAGAGGATTTTCGCTTTTAAAATCATCGCTGGGAATTACACTTTCATTTTCGTAGTCATCATCAAAACAATCAACGTGTTTGAAGAAGTTTGCCTCATTGATGGAGAACAATGATCTGCGTATTCCTTCACTGAAGCGATGCGGATCCTCAGTATGGTGACTTTCATTTCCATCATTACATATTAAAGATCTCTTGATCTGAGATGCCCTATCTATATTGTCGGGGCTGTTGAATAAGCACGCTTTTGGTTTGTAACTTCGTTTGCTTGAAGAAGATACCATTAAAGGCAATAATGGACTTTCTCTCTCGTAGTCATCACCGTCATTAACCTCGAGGTTGCCAATGCGTTTAGGAGTTGCACCATCAAGCTTACATTTTTTCATCAAAGGTTCAAGTTTATTGTTTTTGTTGCAACCAAAAGTATTGACTTTGTTGTGATTTTTATGAATAGCGTTGAATATTGGTGATGTGTCTCTTACTAAAGCATTGCTATGAAAAGAATTTGTAGGACTAGGACTAATAATAGGGTTAATTTTATGAAAATTAACAGAAGTGTTACTGCCAACAATATCGCCATTGGGTCTTCTGGTGACAGAGGAAAGATCATTAATGTTTGTATCATGCGTGCGGGCAAAAATGGATAGCTTTGATTTGACTGAACAGCTTTTATTTAACAAGTCAGGTGAATCAACTGGAATAGAAAATTGATTTAAACACAAAGCATTCAATAAAAAATATGAGCAATTAAAACATTTTTAACATTGAAGAAATTTAAGAATAAACTTATTGAAAGGGAAACTGTGTGCACCTATATCTGAACTGGAATGAGCATAACAGGAATGATCAATATCTGAGTGCCTGTCATTTTCTTTCAACCTAACAAAGAAATCTGATTCTTTAGCTGTTTCCGGGGAGGACACAAAAAACCTAAATAAACGAAGCATCATTAAAACGGCATTTAAATGGCATATAAAATTGCGGGTTTGTGATTTGGTGAAGTGTGAAGACATTGTTTCAATGATATTTACACAAACAGCTCTGAAGTTGCAATTTTGTATGCTATATTATATGACTTGAATTCTGGTTTGATACTGATGAGTATTTTAACACAATAGCAATTGAGTTCCAAATATACATTAATGTCCTCAACTATCGAAATTTGAAACATGCAACTAAACGTTTACTTTCTTCTTTCAACTGCATTAATAAATTAAATCACTTAGAAAAACATTTCAATTTGAAATAATTTTGAATGAAGCAGAAAAATCAGTCATCGTTTGTTGCTTGGTTTGAAATCATCCAAATTTGATTTTACTCAAAATTATGCAAAACAATGCCTTTATGAACATTGTATAACTACTAAACACATAATTTAATGAAAAACAATTTTTTGAATTCCATCTTCTAAAAACATACAGCACAGTGACGGATCTGGACAAATTTGACAGGGAGGCCAAAATTTTGAAAATGTTTAAATTTTGATGGATGGAAGGGGACCAACATTTCCAACATTTGTGGTTGTGTGGCTGACGACCTTTTTGTTTTTTTAGCTTGTCATATCTACTTTTGGTCTATTTTCCACATAAAACGCTGCTTTTTTTCTATTAAATCAATGAATTTTACAGACATTTAATACAGATACCGTCCACAACGGAGAGCCACTGCCCCCCGGTCCTCCTAGATCCGCCACTGAGCACATATATAAGTAACCTGCTTTTGACTTCTCTATTGGAAGCATGTATGATGGAATTTGACTTGCCACTGTTGACGACGTCATCGTCGTGATTGCCGCCCTTCTTATCATCACAACCAGCGTCACTGTTGTTTACTGCAAACACATTGAATTTCTTGGGGGACAATATGTAAGTTGGCGTGGATGGCTTGCAGTTGGGATCGCTCTTGGAACTGTCATCCTCTAAGTTGTTTCTAGAGTCAGTGTACGATACATAGCTGTCCTCACGATTACAATTCCCATCGTTCTCTTTATCATCATCATCACCATCATCATCTCCGCCGTCATCAGAATTTCTGCTACATTTTCCAGAAGTGAAACTAACATTTGGTATATCAGTTGGATTTCCAGACAATTTATTTACAGATTCGTTGGTCCCACCAACACCATCATGGACAGTATCATTATCTCTACAGCAGGCAGAATATAATTGAACAAGTTGAGAGTCAGTTGGCATGTTGTCATCTGTTGAAATGTTTCGTTATTGTAAAACGTGAAAACAATGTCATAGTTACATTAATTCGTAAAAATCTTTTGATAGGTGATTGAGAATTATGTTGAGATAAACATTTTTTTTCGACGGCTTATTATTTGTATTATAAGTATTTCTTACAATGACTTGTAAACTAATTAATTTAAAGTATTCAAAGATTTTTTCATATACTTACAGTAAAAATGAGCTAAAAATAATAGAAAATATTAGGAGATAATAAATTAAAATAAATTAACTTCAAGTTATACAAATAATTTAGACAATCATTTTAAGGATAATATAATACTCCATCTGGCTGAATGGTTCCCTGCTCAAAAACTTGAGGCCAACTTTGATCATTTTCAAGGCCAAATACATTAGCACTGCAGTATTTTCAAGTCAGTTGCTTTTTGCGCTTATATTTTAAAATTTGTTTGTTAATTGTGCATTGAAGCCAAAGTTAATTTTTTACTTTAATACATTCCGATGCACCCGCATCAATCAGCAACAATTTGATAAAATAAAAACAAAACAGCAGAAAAAATGTAAGCGCCATGAATGAATAAAAATAAAATAAAAATTGTTTAGATAAAAACGGAGAATCATTACAAGGATCAACTTTTGGCCGTGTGACGTCACTCCCAGTTGAACATGTGACCGACCTCTGCCTCAAACTGGCATAAGGGAGTTTGACAACAACCTCCTTGCCCTTCGTACCAAGTCTTTCCGAAGGTTTCTGCAAGTGAATTTTAGAAAGAAAACAAGTTTGACAGGTGCAATTATACAAGTATAGCAACTAATATCGCAAATTGACAAAAATTGGTTTAAATTAAAAAGGGGGAGAGCTTCAGAAGCTGGCAAAAATGACAGGCAAATATTAAACACGGCAGCATGGTTTGAATACTGTCTGTCCAAAACTAAAAGACCATCACAAATACTGTCCGTCCAAAACTCAAAAACCATCACAAACGTATGACGCGGTGCTTACATGTGCGTGCATACAAAATTTGTACATGCGTTGTGTAGTGCGGATATTTATGGTAGGGTCTTTGTGGCACAAATGTTTAATTTGAGCATAGAAGGACAACATGTAAGCAGCTCTGTGTTTGGCATAGCTGTATTATAAAGAATTAAAGAGAATCATAATTCTATGATTTAAACAACTAAAAAAGAGTAAATCACCATTGAAAGTTTGTTGAAATCGTCTGCAGTGATCGTGTTGTTCGTGATGGCTCTGCGCTTTGTGTAACCTTCCTTTGACCAAATACTTTGGCCATTCTGGTACGATTGCAGCTGCTGTTCAATGTAATGCAACATTTAAAAAACTAATATAAAAAACCTCAGGTTAATCTCAGAAAAACGACTTTATAGTTTGTTAGTCAAAAGAAATAAAGCACCTTGTCATCGTCAGGATCATAGTGAGCCATTGTAGAGCCATCATTGACATTAACGTTGCCCAATGCAATTTGCAGTGCCTCCTCATCAGACATGGAACTGCGAGAGTGGTGGCAGGCAGGCAGTGTAGGAAAGCAGGCAATCGTAACATTTGGTTTCAATGCCAACGAGTTAATGTCCATTAACACATTTTATTAGCAGTGATTAACTAATATAGATAAAAAATAACATTTTGTTGAAGAAATTTTTAAGTTAACTAAAATTAATTCAATAATCTGTTGAATTCACACATTATTAGTACTATTGCACACATTTTATGGACAAAAAATCAGTTATACTCTACCAGATCTCATTAATGCAAAAGTTAAACACACATTAAACCGGAGTTGATAAATAATAAAATAGGGGGGTAGTAAAAGATTACATTTGTAATGACATGACCAACAATCCTACCAACACCAACAAAAGCTACCAACAAAAATTGCAGACAACAACAACAAAACCACTAACAACACCAACAACAAAGCAATAACGACCGTCAACAACAACAACAACAGCATCATCACTGTGGTAGTAAGGATACGGACCAGCATAACTCATATCCAGCCTGAGAACATGAGCCGGATATGCATTCAACGGCAGCAACTTTCTCCTCAATGGATCAAAGACCAATTGGTAAAGAAAAGTATTTTCAGCTTTGAAAAAGTTATTAATGTAATCATCTGTTACAACTAGGGAAGGCATTTTTAATATCATTGGAAGCCTTTTTAAAACCTGGATAACGATACAACATTATAATTATAACCAGAAGCAAATTTAGAGGGCAGAACAGAGAAGACAGAGTTATATGAACCACAAAACAACAGTCATAACAAGAATGCACATTACATTCAATATTATACAAAAATTACAATTCAATAATTTAACACAATTCAAACCTGCTTCATGTCAGTCTGTCGGCTGAGCTTGAAAACTTTTGTAGCTTTAGCAAGTCCAATGCCTGGCAAGCTTGGCAAGTAGTCACACCCACTCAGTATGCAAATCCTTTGAAACTTTTCGAAAGTGAACTGATCAGATGGAATATCAATGGCCAAGTGGAGTTTGGATTTTTCAACTAACAAACCATTGCCCATCAAATCCATCTTGAATAAAATCTGATTTGTTATCACAAAAAATGTTTTTAGAGGAAAATTAATTACCTATGAATATTAGCAAATTTAAAAAGGGGAAAAATTATTATTATTTATGCAAAAAATAAATACACATTTATTTGCACTTGAATAAATGTACAACAAATGAAAGATAGAAAATACTTTATCACAGCCAAAAAGAATGAGATCAGAGTCCTCAGTGATAATGACATCAGCCAGGCCGATTTGGTTGAGGTAAGCCAGTTGAGCATCGGCTTCATAAGGTGCCACGATGCAATCAACACCTCTTGCACGACACGCCTGACAACATGTATAGTTCAAAATCAGCTAGTTATCATTTTTAAAGTAGAAATTTGAACAATTATTAACAAATAACATTATACTACCTAAACAACAATCACACTGCATCAAGTAATAAATTATACAGCAATGACAAGTACAGAATGTTAGAGTTTAAGAAAAAAATTTTAAATAGGACAAAAAAAAATTTTAACCTTAATAAGTTCAAGTGCCATGTGGGGTGTGATGTCAATGCATTGGACCAAGCAATCTCTTGCCTCTGCTTTCTTGCCTTCCCTCAAAAGTTGGGCTGCTTTCTTGCGATTGGCATTCCTTCGACTGAATCATGTAATTAATTAAATAAATGATTAATTACATTGTTAGCCCAATTAATAATTATGATTTCACAATAATGATAATGATGTTATGAGAATTCTTTCAACATAATAAATTCATACTCTCTTCGAGTTTGTTCAACTTCTTTTTTGGATGGCAAGCGACATCCATCGAATACCATTATGGGCTTAATGCCAAATGCCAGCAGACTGTTGACGTACTTCATGCAGTAGAGAACATACCTGCCAGGAGGATACATTAGAAGTGTTTGTTCATTCTATCATGTTAGTGATTGATCATTTTGATTTTGTGATCTAAGCATTAACCGGCCCTATAAAATAATAATTAATCATTATTGCATGTTGCAGTTTCATTAACCGTTTCATTGACTGGTTTCATGTTAGCCTTAGCTTTAGCTTTAGCAGCTAAGTGCAAAACTTAGGTTATGAACAGAATTAGAAGCAATAAAAATTTGAATACTCATTCATTATGATTATTGGATGAAATTATTTTTTAATAATATAACAAAAATAATTTTTTTTTAAATATTTAAAAAAAATTAAATACATAATTACATAGTAATAATAAAAAATAATAATCAATAATTATTAACTTAATTATTATTATATTGTAATTATACTAACAATTAACTAAGTTAAGATTAACATTAAAGATAATTATAACAAACTTACTGATCCGTTTTTTCGCCAAGAGCCAGTTTTTCAGCGCACGCAAAAGCTCCCTTGTGCAGCCAGCAGTAACTGTCGATGGCGACCACTGCTCCTTTGAAATCCTTAACGTTGCAAGGACTTGATGCTTTCTTCAAAAAGGGTATCAAGCCCTGTATACCCATCTTGAAAAAAATGCAAATGAGTCACGATAAATTATTCATTATTAACCTAACTAAAAATATCCGATCCGTCAACTGAAATAAGAAAATATAATTAAAAAACATAAAAACGGTCCCGAAATCGGATCTTAGCGGCACAAACTAAAGTAGGAATGGGTTGCAAAATATTTGTCACTTTTATACGTTCGAGCCAAAAACCATCTGCAGACAGCCTCAGATAATATATGGTCACAGACTCAGACACATGAGGATGATTTTCGTATTTTCAGACATTTTGATATAAAAGCATATGCCTAGAATATAAAAAAAGATTGAAATATGTAAATTTATAACATTGATGGCATTATTTTATTCCATAGAAAATATTTATAACCTTTATGTCTTCTGTTCATTCTGTGAAGGAGTATAGAGAATGCACCTTGAGATATAAGCAAAGAAACTCTCCAATCAAATATAAAATATAATTCAGAAATAATAAACTTTACAATCTGTAAGAACTTTCGATAACAAACAATCAAGAATGTTTTCTGCTGAGGCATATAGACTGCGATGCACTAAGAGTGCCAGATGCCTCTGGAAGCAAAACATGTCGGAGCTAAAAGGAATGGCGACCTTAATATTTTACAATTCTTTAGTTTTTCCAGGCTTTAATTATTGTTTTGAGTTTAAAGACTTTTGAAAATGTTAACATTGTGTACGGCGAACTTACAAAATTTAAAAGATAAGAGTCGGGAAAGAAAATTTTGTATAAAAATTTAAATATCTTGAAAATAATTTCAATTGGGCTTCTAGAGAATCACAAATAACCATGGATTAACCTAACCCTATCATATCTCTCCCTTTGTACGTTCTACTGGAAGCATGAAATGCAATGACGTCACGGATCCATTTTAATTGATGCTGACTTAAGTTTTTGCAGGTAATCGTTTTGAACATAAAAATACAGTGTAATAGTATAATTGCTTCCAGATCAAAGTTCAGATCAAACGCCTATAACATATATATAGAACATAGGCCATATATATATTCTATATATATGGCATATAAATAATTCAATGGATATAACATTATATCTCAATGTAAACAGCAAATAATACACGAAACCAGTGCATGCAGAATGTGGGTTGAAAATTTGTTAAGAAAACTTTAATGAAAAAAAAACCCCAACTCGTATATATATTTAAAAAGACAGTTTTATCAATTTGAAAAAGGCAACATATTGTCATAAGTTAATAAAAGCGTGGATAATCGAGTTAAAGGACAGTGACGGATAGAGAATTTTACGATAAGGGGATTAACTCAAAATTTTAAATTCCTTTTTAATCCCGTTTTGGTGACTTTTTTCTAATTTCCGTTTTCTTTATTGCTATATTATACACAGAATCTTCAATTTTTTGTTTATGGTTGAAAGATCTGTCATCATATAGAATTAGCAGAGCACACATGAGTTAACGAAGCAGGGCTGAATGTAGATCAAGGTAAGTTAGCTGAATTTTAAAAAGCTCAGCACACCGCAAAGCCATCGTTCATTCAATCTGGATTTGAATCATTGAGAATTTACGCGTTCAATTGAAAACTTTTGAAAACATCTGCTGATGCGGGCAAATGAGGCGAAAATTTTATTTTCTTTGTTCTAAAATTAATAATTTAGCTAATCAACTAATTTTTTAATTGTGTTTTTTATACTGCATCAGTACTGACTCCTTGAAGAGATTTATTAGCATGTTGAAAGTGTCAATCCTTGTGGTAATTTACAAAAAATCAGCCCGACAAAAAGATGTTTGTTTCTACTTTTGTTTATTTGTTTGTTTGTATTATTCTGAGTAAACGACGTTCTAGTGTTACTTCCACCACCTTCAAGCCTCAAGGTGGTCTTTTTTCTTGCATCAATGATGTGTTTTGTCCGTATGATCTATTGATCTATTTTAATTTAATTTCATTTTGAAAATACTTTTCAATTCTGATAAATTTGTTTTTTGTTGCTTCATTTATAAAAATTTATTGGTTTTATTTCAATATTCTTGCCATTTTAGTCATACTAAAACTTAAAATATTGAAGTATTGAAATTAATAAATACTCATTCAATCTACACGCTTCTTGAAATCTGCGTAAAAGGTATTTGCACGCAGGAAATCAGGGATGATGAATATGTCATTGTTATTCTGAATATGTTGCCATTGTTGCTCTGCTTTTTTTATAAACATATTCTAAGCACATTTTTTTCAAATATTAAGCATATGAACAAAATATTCTTTATATATGACAACTCTTGGAGATACTTTTTATAAATTAAACATAAATTAATAGGAAAAAACAAAAAATGTGACAAAGCCAACAATATCAATAAAAAACAGCATGATTTAATGATTACGCATACCTATAGATTATAGAAGAACAAATTCTGGACCAAACTGCAACGAGGAAGACTTTGTAAAAACCAAGACTGAAATAAGTGCGACAGACTACCAACTGGCTGATCGGACCAGCCATCAGTAGGTAAAGCCTTTTTAGCATACTGATTAGGAGTTAGGTTGAATTTCGAACATTTAGACAGCCATAATAATGGTTGCTTCCCGTCATCTGATTTGATGCTGAATGGAGTTAAGCAGGTGAATGATATGCTCGTCTGTGCTCGTGCTTTAGTCTCTCTATGTAATTATTTATGTAGACTTGGTAAAAACGTAATGTGATGATGTTCGTTTAAGAAACTGGCATGAAAAAGAGGACATGGAAATGATTGCTCCAGCATCTCTAGCCAGCATTTTTGGTAGAATAACATCCACAACCAATGTAAACAGTTTTACATTAACACTTATCATTTTGTGGATGGCTTCAATGTTCATGTCCCATTTATCCAGATTCATCAAGTCTGTTGTGTTGACAGTGCACAGTAGTCCTTTTCCAATGAATGAATTTCAAGATTATGGGCTGACAGCTGTACATTGCTTGTTGAAAATATTATCTTCTCACATTTTATTTTAAACCTATTTTCTAATGTTATTTGGAGTTCATGAATTCTTGGGTGATGATCAATCAAAATTAGGCTTATTTCTTGTTCAACTAGGAGGTAAGCAAATTCAGACCCCAACTCATCACATATAGCCACAACTGCCCAATCTCCTGATTCTTTCAGAGATTTTTTGGAGAATTTTGACACAGCATAAGTTTTAAATGATGAAATTAACTCGCAGCCTAATTGAACTGATTTTTTGATTTTTTATTAACATAAAATAACCCAATGAGAGCCAGTCCTTTTAACACCGTGTTGTATTTTATACTAATTTCATCTAAGATGATGTTTAGCAAAGGCTGAAAGCTGGCTATAAAGTAAAATTTTATAAATTTATAATAATAATAACTAACTAAACTCATTATCAAACTAACTCACTTAAATTAGCTTAGTAATTTTATACTAAACTAAACTAAAAACTAACTATTACTACCTGAATTAATATACTTACCGATAACGCAAAGGCCTATATAATTTACTCTTCATATATGTGGTATTGGCAAGAAATGAAATACAAAAATATTTACAATGCAGTTTCTTTGGTCAACGCAATAGTTTCTTTTCAATTTTACAAAAATGAATTATCCCGTAGCAGACAGTCTGTCAGCGTTTTCGTTTAATTACTATTCAAGGTAGTAACAATATTTTTGCTACTTGCCTAACTTATATCACTAATTACTTATAATTTTTTTAAACAAGAAATAAAATTTTGAGTGTAAAGCCGGCAGTAAGCCAACCGATACCGACACCAACATCTGTGAAAGTTGGGGCGACGTCTTGCGGGATTGTGTTCGACGTTAGGCATAAAATTAATTTTTAAACAAATAAATATAAAATAAACTTTTAAGCTTAATATCATTATTTTGCATGAACTTTACACAATTTATTATTATTGTTCTTGCTATACAATTTTTTTTACTTTTAAAATAAATTAAGCTGATTTATTTTATATTTTTATATTTATTTTCGATATAAAAAATTTTATCACTAAGTAATTGAATTCAATTTGAAATAGTAGATTAGTAGAGTAGATTTTATTAGGCATTAGATAAGCATATCTGATATTAGCTAGAAGAGGCTGAACAATAAACTTCAAATTTTCAATCACTGTTTTGTTAAATTTTTGAATTAATATTAAAATTATTAATTAAAGTATTAAACTAACATCTTTTTATTTATAATTTTTTAATAAATATTAAAAAAATTCTTTTTTAAATGTTGTTTTCATCAACAAATAAGTAAATTTTTACTTTATTTAAATAAGAATCACGTTTTTATTTCAAGAATGGTGTCATTTTAGCCTCAGATACACAAAGTGTTAGTGAACATTTGAGAGAAAACAATACAGAGACAATATTTTATCTTGCCGAAAACATTTTGTAAGCAATATTTTTATTATGTTTGTTCTTGTTTTTAATAAATAAATTAGGCATTTCTAGTGCCTGTTTTGCTGGAACTGCAGCAGATAGCTATTGGGTCTGCAAGTTGGTGAGTTCAGAATTAAAACTTCTTCAGCTAGAAACAAAAAAACAGTGCAGAATAATCACAGCTGTAAGACTAATAAAACAGCTTCTTTTCCAGTAAATATCATTTGAACATTAACTTAATTATTAATACCAACTTGAAATATTAATTTGATTTAGTAAAACATTGATTTTCACTTGAAGACATCAATTTTATTATATTATTCATTATTTTGTAATTGAATCAATTGAAGATATCAAGGTATGTTGGATGTCTGTTTGATAGTTGGAGGTGTTGACATTCACGGGTCACACATGACCACTATATATCCCCACGGATCATCAGACAGACTTCTATATTCAGCTATTGGTAAACAGCATAATGTTTTGTTTGTAATGTAATTCATCATTAAATTTTTTTCATTCAATATATAAAAAGGTTCGGGATCCATGTCAGCCATGTCGGTATTCGAAACAAGATTTATACCAAATATGACTGTAAATATAAAGTGACTTTATTCAATTTTTTGATTAATTGGTTTGTTAATTAATGATTTTTATCAAATTTAACGCAGCAATGTGAAGCCTCAAGATTAATATTGGACAGTGTAAGTGCCAGCATATTCAATGACTTAAGAAGTGGCAAATCCATAGATATTGTTGTCATTCTAAAAGATCGCTTTTCACAAATGAATAAAATTGTGCATACTAAAGACGAAAGGTAATATGACTGTTTTTCACGTTGAATGTAAAATACTAAACTTTTCCACAACAAACCTTCAGAATTAATGAAGACATTGTAAAATCTGTAACAGTTTTATCTCAATCAACAACTAAATTCAATTTAGAAATAGTTGAAGAAAAAAAGCTGAGGTGATCGTCATACAGCGCATTTATTTTAACATTAATGAAGAACGCACGTTGCTTTGTTTTATTGTTTCAAACATATATAACTAATTATCAGCTGCAGTCAATATAACATCTTTTTTGTCATTTGTAGACACTTTTTTCTTTCTTCGTGAATTTTCATCGTTACAAAGCAACAGTTTTTCATTTACCAAAAAATCAAAAATCTGTCTCGTTTTGTTGACGTCAATCTTTATCAACGTTCTAGCTTGTGCTAATCTTAGGCTCCCATGTTTTGCATTTTCCGTTATCAATATTTGCTTGAACTCAAGATAACTTTTAGGCATTAGGCGGCAGGTTGAACACAACTGAAATATTTTGCAAAAATTATATTTGTTACGCAAAATGATATTTAAACAAATAATAATAAGATGATAACATGAATTACTATCAAGAAAATATAAAAAATTGTATCTCAACCTCTTTTTCCGCTTCTGTGAGCAGTGTGTAGCCAGGAATGTTACTAATGTCAAGTGGAGCCGATGATCTTTTGGCTAAAAATAAAATGCATTCATTTATTTACTTAATGATTGGTTATTTTTTGTTTAAAACAAACTGACGTAGTTTGAGGTCGCCGGAGAGACCATGGATCACAGTTTTGTTGTCGATCCACAGTTTGTACTTTTTGTCCACCTGTTGTAATCAAACCGCTTTTTAAACGTTGATAGTTTTTAAAAACTTTAAACAAAATCAAATTTATTTGTTCTCTTTTATCATAATAATTTATAATCGAATTTTATTGTGTTGCTGATCTTCAACTTTTACATTTTTGTACAATCAACAATAATCTATGCACGTTTTTCAATAAATCACAGGTTGGAAACATCGAATGCAATAGTGTTGCCGTCATAGCTTTGTAATGTCTAAACTTTTGAATTTAATTTCTCTAGCTATCAGTTAATTTAGCAATAACCTCTGCGAAAATTTTCTGGAAACAGTGCACCATTATTTAACAACGGAGCTAAATGAATTATATACAAACTTAGGTTATAATTAAAGCAAATAATGAAAAAAGTAACTGACGTTTAGATATTGCAAAACATTGGAAAGCATTGTCATTTTAGACATCATTTCTTTTCTTTTTTCATACATTTTTCGAAAAAGTGGAATACACTGCTTGTATTTGATGCCATTCCTTCTGTAATAACAGAGATCTTGTATCTGCTTTTTTATCTTCTGGGCCACTGTTTATATCAATTGAACAAATATTATAATAGCGCATGGTCCTATATTCAGCAAAATTTTTCAGAGTTTAATTCTTGTGAAGAAAAAATGGAAACACTATGCTGGTAAGGGTCAACCATTTAAAAGCTAAATCAAAATGAGAATAGCGTTCATGGAACACAAATAATTGAACATAGAGCCGGAGGACGCTAACCATAGAAAGATTCCATGCAGAGATCCCACTGCATTGGCCTCAAGAATGTCGTCATAACTCTCAATGTTTTGATGAAGTGGTGACCTAACAAACTTTCGTACCTCTTGCAATGAACTTGAAAAAAGTAATACAATTCAATAGGATGATGTGTAGTTGGCCAGTATCAAAATGCAAATTACTTGTTTCTTTACTCATGTTTATTAATCCAAACTCTGCTATTTTTCTGTAAATATTATAAAAAATAAAAACAAGGGACATCAAAATGGAGAAATCAAATAAATGAAATAAATAGACTTTTTTCTTTTCCATCTTTCCTTTAGAATGCTTCTGTAGATAGCAATGATATGCAAGTTTAAATCTGTACAAGTTTGACAAGATAAATCAACATTTCTTTTGTATCAATAATAATCTTTTAACCATTATCTAAGACTTTTAATTTTTCTTTTTCATTTTCTGAAACTGTTTCATTGTAGATTTCTTCATCCTGGTCCTCCTGACAAATCATGTCTCTCAGATTAAACTCTGCATGATCATTATACTCTACCATGAAATCACCTCTGGCAGCTGAGTAACCTCCCATTTCCTGCTGCAAAAATGAACCGTTGGCAGGCCTCGGTGGATCCATACATGCTGACGTTTCATGAAAAATAATAATTAAAACTTCATAAACATGTTGAGTTTAGAGACAAATCTATTACTTTTATTCCCATCACTATTATAAACATTACTTTTGAAGATCATACCTTTAAAAGCTGTTCCTTGTGGTCTTGTGTAATGTGTTTCAGCTATCGGCATGTCTGCAGATAGAGAGATTTAACAAATGTAATTCTAAAATTTTTAATGATTAAAATTTTTGCTTACCAGGCAATGAAACTTGTGGATAAATTAAGTAATATTTGTCGTAGTGCTGTTTGCAAGAGCTGGTTGTTAAATTTGGATAATGGTTTAGCCTTTGCATATATTCAATGATTTCTGTCCTGAAATTGAAAACAACATTAAAATAAGCCATTAATTATATAAAGGGCTAAATTTATATAACACTACTGTCTGTTGAAACATAAATCATGCTGAAACAAATAAACATCACATGATAGCTTTTAGACTGAACAATTTTTAATTTACAAACCAGTTATCATAGCCACACACATTCACTGCATCCAAGAGATCGAGTTCCATTTGGGCAGACCACGATGATTCAAATAATGGAAAGTCATATTTCTTTAAAATAAAATCTTAAGTTAGACCAGCTTGTGATTGAAATATTAATATTTAATAATTTTATATCTAGAAATAACAGATCTAGAAAATTAACTTTGTTAAATAACCAAATCAAACATGGCAATATTAATTTCCTAATAAAAAATATAAAAATTTTACAGGAAAAAGTGTACAAGTAAAAATTGAATATATATAAATAAAAACAACAATGTTTAAAGTAAAATAATACTCAATCTTTTTTTTTTCTCATGCCTCATCCTTTCAAGACATTAGCGACCATTAACCTCCACAAAACCAGATCTTTAACGCTGTAGTAGTTGAAATGTGATGACATTCAACAAGTGGCACAAGGACTTCACAAATGTTATTCATTGTTGACCACGATCTCTACTCCCTGCAATCTTTCCAGTAGTTGTTACATTTTCCATTCCTTCCTTCCCATGATGTGATCAGAAACTTTAACTGCCCCCGTCAGATTATTTGTAGCAATTTCCTCTTTTCATAACCGGACTGTTTTAATACATCCCCATTGGAGGTATGAGAGGTCCAACTGATTTTCATAATTATTTTCAAAAACCACATCTCAGCAGCATCAATCCTTTTTCTATTTCTTTTCTAGAAATTGTCCAGGACTCCGAGCCGTAAGTGAGCAAAGAAAAAATATAACACTCTAACAGTTTTAATTTTGTTGATATTCTGATTTTACTCTTGGTAAAGAAGTATTTCATTTTGGAATATGCATCTTTCGGCATAGCTATCCTTCTTTTGATATCCATATCACATTTATAACCTGAGGTAATCAGACTTCCAAGATAATTGAGGCTGTTGACTTTTTTCACCTGTTTACAATTAATGATTAGGGAGAAGATTGGGGCAGTTTTGCTTTTACTGATAACCATGCACTCTGTTTTGTTTATGTTAATTTGCATACCTTTCCTTTTACTTTCAAAAACCAGTTTGGACACTGGTTTGCAGTTTTGATTCATTGAATCTGCTATCAGATCTGTATCATCAGCATATCTTACATTGTTTATATTCATGCTTCCAATAGATATTCCAGGTAGATCTTCTATCTTTCGCATTATGATCTCACTGTAGAGATTGTACAGGTCTGGAGAGAATACAAAATCTTGGCTAATACTTTTTTATCGCGAAAAATCTTTATTTATCTTGTTACCAATTTTCATCGCTACTCTTTGGTCCCAATGGAGGTTTTTGATAACTCTCGTGCCTATTCCATCAGTGTCCAAATTTTCCAATATTTCCATCAGCTGCACATGTTTTACACTATCAAAAAATTTGAGTAATTAACAAAACATATAAACAAGTCTTTCTTCATTTCAATCGCTCGTTCACCGATCATTCGCAGCATGAAGATAGTGTTTATTGTCCCACGATCCTTGACAAAACCACATTGGACATTTAAAATTTCAGATCTGATGCTCTTAATGTTAGAATTCTCAAGAGAAGTTTTGTAAAATGACTCGTCAAAATGATTGTTCAATGTAGTTCACATATGAAACTCAATAGACATCAGGAATATAACCAGTACTTATGCCTTATGGTTATGCTCTTTTCTATTTTTTAGAGTTTTTTTTAGAAGAAATTGATTCATGAAAATAGAAATTTGCCAAAAGAGAAATTTAAATGATGACAACGACCTTGCATCCATCATAATCATAACAGTCTTATTAGTAGTAGTCTATGTCTAGTAAATAGTAATAGACAATTGCATTATTATACTGTAGACTATACCAAAACTGAAGAACACAACAAACAATCAATCATAAATAATTAAAAATGAAAAACATGGTAATTTAACTAAGAGTTTACTTTTTGTTTTTAAGAGACAGTCTAAAAAATGTTGAAAATTTTTAAAAAATTAAAAATTAAATTAAGGAAAGATAAGATTATTTAATTAATTTATTTATTAAGTTTAAGACTTTAGGTGTAAAAAAAACACTACTGATTAAAATTAAAATTAAATTAATTATTTTATTAATTATTTATTAACATGACATTAAAATTTTAAAAATAATAACACAAATATAAATTAAAATATTAAATTATTAATAATATTAAATTTAATTTATAAAAAATATATATATATATATATATATAATTATATAAATAAACTATACAAAATAACTAACAATATAAAAATAAATAATAAAGATAAGAAAAAGAAGAACATACCTGGACTTCATACTGGTGGTGGTTGTAATGTGGTGGCTTCTCAGATCCTTTTGAGAAACAGTTGAGACAAATAGGTAATTGGCAGGGCACACAGATGATGTATCGACGAAATAAATGATGCCCACATATCAAACATTTTCTCACGTCCGCTCCCATCTGTTTACTTTAAAAAATGAACTTAAAAGAAAAATTTATTTTAAATGCAAAATTTTAAAAGTAAATTTATTTTTTAAAAAGTCTTTAAAATAACGATTATAATAAAAATTGGCTCAAAATTTATTCTATATATATGATTTAACATTTTAATAAATAATATTTTTCAGTTTTTATAAGCGAGTCAAATAACACGTGTTGCACGTGTTTAATTTTTTTAAGAGTTTGTTCACTAATCATTCGTTTGGTTTGATTACCGGTGAATAGTAACCACAAAGTAACTTGGTAACTTAAAAATTACTTCAAAATTGATATTTTAAACGCCAAAATATCAATTAGAAATGTATTATTTACATATACGTATATCAATTAGAAATGTATTATTTGCATATACGTATATATATATATATATATATATATATATATATAGTTTGTAACTTATCACCGTATATCTCAGAAATCGTGTTGAACCCTGTATATAGTGTAGTTGCTTAAATAATAATTCAATATACATACGTTTAACTATTATAGTTCTACACATATATATATTAAATATATATATATAAATCTATATAAATCAAGCTAGCGAGTGTTACGATTAGGATATGAACTTTTTGAAACTTAAATACTTTTACTTTTTATCAACTTGTTAGCCAACTTGAGTGATAAATTAATTTACTTACATATACGTGCGTACGTATAATACAATATAATCGATCGATTCTGTCTCGTGACTCGTTCCGATTGCTAAACATATGTTTTAAATTTTAGCTTTTTTCTCTTTTCTTCTTGTTTAGCATCTATCTTGTAACAATAAATAAATTAATTTGTAAAAACCTTAATTTTATTTTATTAATTAACCTTTTTTTTATTTAGAGGAATTCAGTCATAAATTATAAAATAAAAAATTTGTAAGAAATAACAGAACAGTGAACCAGGCAACCAATCATGAATTTGAATTTTTCAGTTGCTGAACATGAACTGTTGTTATTCCTTTCTCTCTCGCTCTTATGTTCTCTGGCAGTTTGTCACGAAGCCGTCAACCCCATCCTTGGTGATATAGGCGGCCACCAACACACTAAACAAGAACACGAGGGAGAACATGAACCTGAACAAGTCAAACATGCGGCCAGCCATGAAGAAATAGGTGTCAAATTCAACTCATCAGTTATTCATAACAAAGAGTAATATATTCTAATATTATTTTATTTTTAATTAATTAATTTATTAACATTATTAATTATTAAATATAGTGCTACCAATAGTTACCCACTACTCTACTGATAAGAAAAGTTTAGAGGAGGCCTTATTGTGAATATTATGACATAATGATATTGATAATAGAATAATTTTGTATATTTTTTTTATATCAATGTACTTAAAGTTAAACTTGAAGACTTCAGATCTGCTTTTAGAGGTGTAAATTCTGCTGACAGATTATGTTATTTAAATAAATTTTAAATGGAGGAAAGGTCATATAATATATATAAAATTTTACACCATCATTTTTCATGGTTTCAGTTTCTATCATTTGTTTATCATTATTGTTATTATTATTATTACTATTTTATTATTATGAACATTTTCAGAATTTTTGCAGAAGAAAGTTCTTCAAAATTGCTATCAACACAAACAAATATTTCATAAATTAAAACACTGGCAAAGTTCATCAATGGCCAAAGCTGTTGATTCAGCACATGTTTAACAATGAGAACCAAAATTTTAGCTGTTTTGCTAACCTGAATTGATAGAGAAATTTTTAATAACTAATTGTGTATTTGTTGATGAGATCATGAAATACATTAACAACTGACAGACACATAATAGAGCACCTGGATGGTTATGCAAAACAACCAGAGGAGATGAACTCTGATGAACTTCAGTTCCACTACTTTAAATTGCATGACACAAACAATGACAATGAACTGGATGGACTCGAACTCCTTCAAGCCTTTCTTCATGAACACAAAGGTTATTACTTTTATTTACAGAACAGTCTTTAGCCTTTTAAAACTCAATTTTGTGTTAAATGTTTTGTGAAATAGTCTAACTTTCAAGCAACTTTTACATTCAAATAAATTTTCCACCATCTGTTTCATTGAAGTGGTATTGTTATGGAAATAATTTTGTAAATACTTAACTGTTGTGATGACATGAACATTGAGCGTTTTCTTATTTAAATTTTTTATTATTTAAAAATTTCTATAAAGAGTTTAATTTTGATTGGCAGAAGAGAATGATGAAGAGCCAGCTGAAGACAAAAAGAACCATAATCTCAATTTGGAGCACATCGTTCCTAACGTTGATTATATCCTGAAGCTCTATGACAAGAATGATGATGGTAAAGTCAGCTACCCAGAGTTTGTGTCTTCAATAAAGTTGGAAACGAATGATTCACCAGACCAACATCAACAGCAACCCCCACCACCTGCCCAACATTTGTGATCGAATCATCAAATCACTCTTTTTATTTTGTCCTGTCCACCTATATGTGTGTCTGTCTATGTGTGTGTGCGCGGCGCGCGTGTGTGTGAATGGTGTTGGTATGTAATGCATGTCGTGTATATAAAAACTCATTAATTTGTTATTACTCCCAATTGATACTCCACCATTTTACCATGGATAAAGTGCGTTTTGCATTCCACAGATGTCAGTTGAATAGAATATTTATTCGTACGGCAGGGCGGTTGTTGTGTTTTTACATTAGCGATGCCCTAACTTGTTGTATCCCAACTAGTTTTTCTATTTTACATCAACAACATTTGAATCATTTTATTATCGCCAATAATAATTATTATAAGATTTGTTGATTTAGAGGGCAGATAAGCGTTCTTCCTTTTGCCAGGACAGTTTTTAGGCAATTTGTAATTTGTAAAAATACATGCATCTTGATTCTTTTTTTATTGTTAATTAATAATGTAACTGTTTCACAATATTTTTCTCACATCTCCTTATTTCCCTATACGAGTTTCAAATCATGGATACAAGAGCTTGTTAATTGTTATCAATTCATTGGCCTGTTATTAAACAAGTTTAGTCATCTTTTTGCGTTTTCATGTACAGCGTGGGTTATGCAATTCAACAAAAAGTGAAAATCTGTCCATTTTGATCTCAATAAAGTGGACTTGACTGATACACGCAGTGCCGGATCTCGACAACTTTAACGTGGGGAGCCACAACTTCAAAAATGTTTAAATTTTTTGGAATATTTTGACGGGTGGGCTAAGGTTTGTGTTAGTGTGGCAAAAATTTGGCTTGCGACCTTTATTTGATCGATTTTTTTTACATATAATAGTGTTTTTTCGTGCAAAAAACTGAATTTTAGTGACTTTTAATAAAACTGTTCACAACGGGAAGAGAGGCTGCCCCCTAGATCCGCCACTGAATGTACGACGAAATAAATGTTTATGTAGACATTTGTATGGTCAAATAAGTTTCTACGTTTAATTGCCTGAAGCTCCTTTCTATTTGAACTTTCTTAGTTTTGTTCTCTTTTTATAAAAATAAATGCCTTCATACTTTATTGTTCGCCGGATTTTTTATTATAAAAATCGAACTATAATACTTAAACTTTAACGTTTATCAAAAAGCGTTTGCGTCGCAATTATATTTATTTTTACCTTTTGAGAAAGAACTCTCCTTTCTCGTGCCTTATCCTTTCAGGACACTTTGTAGTAGTAGTAGTAGTTGAAATGAGCAGTATAAAAATTTACTTATTAAGATCACGAATACAGAAAATTAATGAGCTAGTTGGAAAACTTGAAAAATAGACATGATGATCTTTGATGTAAATTTAAAAAACGTTACTTTTAGACGGTGTTTGGTCCTGCTGTTTGGTCGAGTTCGAATACAAGAAGATCTCCACCATCACATCAAAAAGTGTGCGTGATGAGTAAATTCATGCGTATTCACATGCACTGTGTGTGTTGTGATATATAAAAATTAATTTAAAGCGAAATAAAAATATTAAAGCGAATTAATACAATGATTGACATGGCATGAGCAAATCGGCTCTATCAGTTTAGTCATCTGGGGAATTTTTGGGGTGTTAGAGGAACAACATCTGCAGGTAGCCAGCACTGTGAGTCGCCCACGACTCCTTTCCACAGTTGATTTATTTTTTGCCAATTTATCATTAATGAAATGCCATTTTTTGGGGCAATATTAAGTTTCCTAACTTTTTAGTTTGACATTTCCAATTACCTTAAACATTTGATGTTAATTCGAACAGTTTTTAACCCTCTACTGCATGGATTAAAAAAATGTGTTTCAATTAAAACTAAAAAAATATTTTTGTATTGGTATTAGATTTCCCATTATGGAAAAATTGTTTTTTAAAAAAAATTTTTCATTAAAGAAGAATAAATGACCAAAATGTATGAAGTGCCAATCGGCATCTTCATGCACAACACAACCAATTGAATGCATTTTTATTGGTATAAAAGATTTACAAAATTATTATTTATTTTGCATAAATTTGTCTAGATATATATAAGTTAGACGAGTAAATCATTGTTATACTGTGTGAAAACGCCTGAAACAGTTTTTGTCCTTTGTAAAGCACAAACTTATTTTGCACTTTTCACAAGACACTCGTGATTGTCCATTACAACCAGGTAAACGACAACGCAATCTTTCAACGGTCCAAAATGGCCAGTGGCTGGTGTCATCTGTACGAACATCAGCAACTGGCTAACTGTCTATGTCGTGCCTTCTTTGTGGCAAACTGAAGTTGGGACTCAATGCTCGGTCGACCCGGAGTTCTCTTCCTACTTGGTCCTTTCCTAGCTTTGCACAAACCTGCAATAAGATCAGAGATTGAAACACTTTATTATGATTGCATGTTTGAACAACAAAAATATTTAAATTGATATTAGTCGTTTTACTTACCTTCTGCAATATCAGCCTTGAATTCCGCCAATCTGAGCATTCCTGAAACATTGTTTTGCTGCGAACGAGCTCGCCTATATAGTAGCCATGCATTCACAACGGCCATGTCAAGACAATGCCAAAACAATCTGTGATACCATTTTTTGGATCTTATGGTGATTCTGTAAAGTCCCATTAGACTGTCAAGCAAATCAACACCACCCATATGTTGATTGTAAGTGGAAATTATCTGTGGGCAGTCAATCTCCTTTCTAATTTTCTCTGCTGAAAACCATTTCTTCACTGTTATTCTGGGCTCAGTACCCAGGTAAGTCGAAAGAAGATTGACCACTTTGTTGTTATACCACTGCACAAATGAAATGGTGACACCATCTACAACAGTTGTGTACTGGGCCATTGATCCACGACCAGCCTTCTTCATGTTCATATCGTTCTGTTTTTACACTTTGAATTGCTTGGTGTTCTAAATATACAAGCAAATCAATGCTTATAAAATAATTGTCAAAATATAGCTTATGTCCAACAGGTGGAATAGTCCGGTAATCTCGGAGACGGCAAAGTGGTTTTTCCAGCAATATTTATTTATAGTCAACAGTTTAAAGAGACTCAAGTTCCTCCCACGTTACAACTAAAAGTTAAACTAAATAATAAAAGCTTATAATAAAAGTTAAAAATAAAAATTTTAAACCAATTTTTACTAGAAAAACCACAAAACCTCTATAAAGTTATAAAAATATGATACATTACAAAATGTGTAACAAAATTTTAAACGTATCTGTTAAAAAGATAGTTTCACTTTTAAAACAAATTATTAATTTTTAGAAACTTGCTTCCAGAGGTAACTTGCCGTTGAAAAAAATTTTCAATGTTAAAACGCTGGTAGGGCGCTTCCAGTTATATAATTCCATGATTTTTACTTCATAATCGGCGGATAGATCTATTTAGTTTAAGAAATTGAACTATAACGTTAAAAATTATTAATTATTCTTTTCTTCGTTAAACGTTTTTCATTCAGGTTTTTCAATTTTAAAGTCATTAACATTTAAAAATTAAAATTCTTCAAAAAACCGCTTATTTTTTTAAATTTTTACATATATATATATATATATATATATATTACATATATATATATATATATATATATATATATATATATATATATATATATATATATATATATATAACGCTTGTATTAAAAGAAGAATGCAAACTTTTGAAATGCATAATGAGAACAACTATTTTTATTTCGTTGTTGTTATTGTTGTTCGTTGATGATGGTTGTGATGATGATGATCGTCATCATAGTTTAACAGATTAACAGTATAACATACTTAAAATACATTGACAGAAATGACATGAATGTTTATTGTACTGCGTATATATGATGGCAGTATGTATGTATGCGTGTATGTATGTGTATGTTTGTATGTATGTGTGTCTGTGTCTCTTTATGTGTACATGTTTGTATTCGAGATTCGAGATTTTAGTAAGAAAAGAAAAACACAACAGTTGCTTTTATTTAACATCATCAAAAGATGAAGTGACGAAATTAAAATTTGTTAAACGTCAATCTTTTAAAAAGTTCAGATTTTAAACAAACAAATATATCAAAATATCGATCGACAAAAAATAATTATCACGAAACATGAATATTTAGTAAGGACAGTTCACAGCATATCATAATGACTAAATCAACATACCAAACAGAAATTATTCATGCATGCATATATACAAAGTAAATCAGGAAATATCCAAAAGTTATATAACCAAAATAAGAAACTAGAAACCAGTCAACATTTTACAAATAAATAGACATTATTAAAAAGATTGTTCAAAAATGGTAAAATTTAAGGCGACGACAAAAAAAATTGTAGTTTGTTTTGTTGGTGTTGTGTGGTGCTAAGAAGCGAAAACAAACACACCACAAAAAAAAATATTAAAAAGTCGCAAGAATAGTAGTCAGTCACCTACCTACAATTAAATTACTCTCAGGGCCCTAGCTTACCTGTAATGATAACTCAACTCATTTATTTTACATATTTTAACGTTTTAATTTTGCTTGAAGCTTTTAATTTATGTTAATGTTAATATTTTACTTGAAACTTTTTAACTAATGTTAAGCCCTAGCCTACCCACAGTTGTTCAACTCATCTCAATCCCTAACTTACTTATGAATTAAATTAAGTCCGGTAAAGAAAATAGAAAGTTGAAGAGAAACATAACAACAACGACACCGAATGAATGGATGTTGTGTATGTGTGTGTTGTATTTATGTGTGTGCGTGTATGTAAATGTGCGCGCGCGTACCCTCCAAAAACTTCTTCACCCACTACGGACGAACCTCCATTGCACCGACCATCATCTGACACGCACCGAGGAAATGAATTTTACCGGATACTGAAAAACAAAATTGAAAGAAAAAGTTAATTTTTTAAAATAAAAAACAAGCCATTGAAAAAAAGTAAGAAGCAACTTATCTTACCATGAGATTACCATCATGAAACGTGCTGTCTCCCACCACAACCCACCTCTGATCATTCTGTAGACAAATTTTTTTTATTGGCTTAGTAGTAAATGAATGTTAAAACGAAAGAACAAACGAATAAATGATTGAGCGAATGATTGAGTGATTGAATGAATTAATTAACCAATCTATGATTCAATGAATGAATAGAATGAGTCAATTAATGGATGAATGAAAGATTGTGTGACAAAATGAATGAATGAAAAAAATAAAAACAACAAAACTAAACCATACTTCAAAAATCGTCGTTGTTGTTTTCTGCGAGTTGTTATCGGAACGATCACCATCTGAAACGTGCTGACGCCCACCACTGCCCACCTCTCATCAGTCTGTAGACAAGTTATTTTTATTAGCTTAGTTGTAAATGAATGTTAGAATCTTAGAAGCAAAAAATTATGAAACGGAAATAATGGCAAATAAATAATATTTGAAAATAATAGAGTAAAATGCAAAAAAAACTTACCGTCGTCCATTCGACAAAGGCAAAATGATGAGTGCCTTCCGTTTCCTGCGTTGTCCTCCAAAACTGGTGCCAGTCCTCCTCGAGATTGTTGTTGAAACACAGCCCGTGGAATGGAGAAAAAGAAAATTCTCACTAGAAAGCTTAGCGGTGCCTGCATCTTAAATTGCTTAATAAAAATAATCTTATCTACCTATTCAATTACCTTAACTAATCTATAATAAATTGTTAATGGTACGATAGTCGAAAGTTCCCCTTCATTCTCCCTCCTTGCACAGAGGTTCACCGACAGCCAGGGCACCGGATAGTAAACCATTGCCGTGCGGATAGTAGACTACTGCCTTGCGGATAGTAAACCATTTGCCGTCCGGAAGCCGTGCGGGTAGTAGACTATGGCCATGCCGCATAGTAAATCATTACCGTGCAGATAGTAAACCATTGCCGTCCGGATAGTAAACCATTGCCGGTTCACCACTGGCCGCCAAGGCTTACCTCTGACAAGAGACTTCGAAATTCAGAGTCTATCGGCTATCGTACCCTCAACTTACCTATTCATTACAAATAAGCCCTAGCTTACCTAAAATTACAAAACTCAAGAGCCCAATTCATTGGCCTTTCGGCACCCACCCCACCACCTACGTAATGCCTTGGGCTCCAACTTAGTAATAATATAAAACTTAAACCCTAAACCTATTAATGAGTATGTGTTACAACGTAGCCTTAACCTACCTATTCATTACATTACGGTCCTAGCTTACCTAAAATTACAAAACTCAAGAGCCCAATTCATTGGCCTTTCGGCACCCACCCCACCACCTACGTAATGCCTTGGGCTCCAACTTAATAATGATAATGTAAAACTTAACAATTAACCTACCTATCGATACACTTACAGCGTTTTAATTTACATTACAAGATTTTTCCTAGAATTACATTATTGCTCTTAACTACCTATGAAATTAAATTACTCTCAACCTTAGTAATAATAAATTAGAATGTGTAATGAAAATAAAATTACGCTCAAATACTAACATGTGTTTATGTATGTATTTGTGTGTGTGTGTGTGTAATACGCTGGTGCGTGTAATGTGGGTGCAAGATAAAATAGAAGAGATAAACTTACGCTGCCTACCTATTCAACTACATTAGTGTTGGATGCTCCCTATCTATCCTACCTACAACTAAAATTAGGCCTATCTAACCTACCTAAATAGCTACTTAATGTAATTGTGTATGCGCGTGTGTGCGTGTGAGCATTCCTACTTAATGTTAAATTACAGAAAAAAAGAAGAAAACGTATCCCAGTCAGGCAGGTATTCTTTGCCACTGAATGAACGAACGTAGCCTGACATCTTCCACGATGAACTCCTCTGGAAGCTTCAACCTGAATGAAATAAAAAAATCCTATTTAATTAATTAATTTAAATGAAAATAGAGAAACGAGCCGCGGTGAAATCCACCAGCCGGAAAAGACAGCAAACTGGCAAAAAAAGAAACCGTTAAGAAACCGTAAAGTCGGAAGTTAGGGTTAAGGTTGAACGTAGGGTGACATCACGACCATTCTGATCCTCCACGACGAACTCCTCTGGAAGCTATAACCTGAATGAATGAACCTGAATGAACCTAGATGAATGGACAAATTTTATTTATTTAATTAATTTAAATGAAAATAGAGAAACGCAAAGAAGCCGACCGGTCGGCAAAGAAAAGAACCGCAAAGAATGGTATCTATATAGGATTTATGCTCTATATAGGATTTATGCTCTATATAACTCTATATAACTCTATATAACTCTATATAACTCTATATAACTCTATATAACTCTATATAACTCTATATAACTCTATATAACTCTATATAACTCTATATAACTCTATATAACTCTATATAACTCTATATAACTCTATATAACTCTATATAACTCTATATAACTCTATATAACTCTATATAACTCTATATAACTCTATATAACTCTATATAACTCTATATAACTCTATATAACTCTATATAACTCTATATAACTCTATATAACTCTATATAACTCTATATAACTCTATATAACTCTATATAACTCTATATAACTCTATATAACTCTATATAACTCTATATAACTCTATATAACTCTATATAA